AAACTCGTAAATTAAACTATCTGTGTCGGTGTAGAGCAATTTTACATTATTGAATTTCGATAGCGCAAAATTATAGTGAAAATCGTAAACACAAACTTTGGATATATCTAGGATAGCCATTCCAATGTAAAGAGGTTTATTAAAACATAAATCGTTTTTACTAAGTTCTATAGCTATAAGATTTTCATGGAAAATGGTACGATTTTTAAAATTTGGGGAGGCAATTAAATTTTTCGCTCCATAACGCCCCTCCCATTTATTAACTAATTTTACTACTCTATGTTTACGAATATTTTCCATGGTCTTGCCAAAGATAGCGTTTATCATTAGCTTAAAAAGATTTTTTTCGAACTCATTTTTAGAATTTTGCCTTAAATTTGTATTTAGCTCTATATAAGATTTTAGCCAAGGAGATTGTTTGAATTTTAATATACTATGGATTTTAGTTAAAACAAGGCCGCTTGTAAGAGCTTGTTTTAAATTTCTGTAATGCATTATGTACTCTGATTTATCATCTAAGGTAGTCATTAATTTAGGTAATTTTGAATTTGGAGGTTTTTTATGTTCTGGACAAAAAGGCAAATCTTTGTGTAAATCATGCAATTCATCTGGGTATGGTAGATCAACCTTTAAAATGTAGCCGACTGGTGACTCATCCGAAACATTCATAACATTAAAATTTTCATAGTTTTCAACCCATTGAAAACCATCATACGGTAAATATTGAGACATAGCCCACCCGTATAAATTGTTGACATCTAGGTAAAGTAAATAATTTGATGATTTTGATGGATCGTATGATTTGCCCATATACCTATTGTTAGCCTCAGCGTATCGATTACAACATTGGCTCACCCCACCGCGAATACCTTGTTTAATAAATAATAGCATATCTACATCCTTTAGTATTTGTAAGCTACAGCGGGTATACTTTAGCATGCAATCCCACGTATATCCAGGTAAAGGATAATAATGCACTGGATCGAGTTCATACGTGTTAAAACAGCTGGTGCGAAACTGCTCAAACACATCAGCTAGCAATAATATATCAGTTTTTAAGTAGAGGTCAGAGTATTCACCTAAATTTTGACAATCAAATTCTTGCCACACCTTAAGGGCATGTGCATAATCTTCATTCGAAATATTGCAATCATTAAGTTTATTGTAAAAAGCAGATTTTTCAGGTAGACATAGAAAATTTAATTTTTCTTCAGAATCTACAAAATCATATGGGAAAACACCCTTACGTTCTCATAGTTTAATTTTTTCATTAGGCAAATTTTTGAATTCCCTTCTTAAAATTGGATAATTAGGTAAATATGAAGATAATTTATCTAGACTTGAAGCCATGAAGCGAAAAGAGTCGATAAACCTTAATTTTATGTTTGTTTCATTATCGTAAACTGTAAAGGAAATGTATTTCTCTTTGTTTATCGGTAGCAAAGAGATTCTTGTTAAATTTGATAAATCTTTAATCAAAAAATGTGAATCATATCCGGATAAGTTATGAAAAACAACTGGGACTGTAAAGGTATTTTTGTAATTTAGGTTACAAACCTGATGGGCATAACCTCTGAACTGTCCTTTGAAGTGATTATGATCTCTGACTATAATGTCATCCTGCCTAAAGATTTTTTTGCAGATATGATGATGAAGTGGCATCCTTCAAGTCAATATCATTTTGCATGGGTATGTTAGTTTTTAATTTTAATTGTACCAGTTTCGATACTTCTGCAAGCTCATTTGCGAACCACTGTATACAATCGAGACCGCGATAGCTTTTGTAGTACGATAAATTATCATCATAATCACATTTAAAATAATATGCGGCGCTAAATGCTTTATGTTCCTGATATTTTAAAGACTTTATAGAAATATTTTCATTTATGGGTAAAAGAATAAATTCTATATCAGCATATATAATAAATGGTACTTTTTCTTGAAATTTTTCATTATGAAATTCAACAAAGTCATACTCTGGAAAATAAATTTTGCTTTTGTTAATTTTTATACAATATTTTACATGCTCAGTCAACTTTGCTTGATTAGAAAAATAATTTAGGCAACAATCGCAAATAAACATTTCATGACCACGTTTACTTGTTTGCTTGGATATTATTAGTCCAGATAAATTTTTAATCCAGCAGTAGTGATATTTTATTTCGCTATCATCAGATACATCTATAAGTGGTTCGCAATCAGATTGCTTGGGAAAATACATATTTTGAATTAAAAGCAAATTGATATGCTGATCTAATTTATTTTTTGTAAGTCTGACTGGAACAGTATTGTAATGAGTACCTTTTTTCGTTTCAATTAGCTCCAGCCCGTAAACATTAATAGATAGGGAATTTAATTTTTCAAATTTATTAATATCAGGTAATTTCATGGGCAAGTTAATATTATCAAAATTTAAAACATTATTGTAGCTAGGATATGAGGAAGTTCTATCCACCACAGATTTTGGGGGGCATAATGCTGATACTATAGCCCACCCAAAGCAAGCATCATCATCATAATTTTTTATATTTTCACAGGCACGTTTTCTAGCAATTTCCTCAGGTAGCCTAATAAAAGATGAGCCGTTACCAACCTCATATTTATTTATATTGATTTCTAAACTTAATACTTTTTTTAATGCCCACTAGGGTGTCCCTTATTTTTTATTTTTTTACGCATACCCTCTAATTATATTTATTACGTGTTTATATACTCTCAGTAAAAATTTCAGCTCATTCTATAAACGGGAACCCGTGCCGACTTGCATCTGAACCCTCCATTAGCCAACGTTAGGCGCGCGGTATTTTGTAACACGGTTGGCCGCTAGGTCTTCGATCGTAAGTCATTTTGTGTTTGTTATTATGTGACCCTTATATTATAAATTATTAAAAAATGTTAAAATATAGTTTTATTTATGTGTATACTTTAATAAAAATGAATATTTTTACAGGAAGTAGCTAGTTACCCGGAAGTGTCGGGTGAATAGGCCGTAAAACTAATTACCCGAAACTCTTTTTTTTATTATATCTGAATGACAGCTAAAAAATAATCAAAAAAAATTAGTTGATTTTATCCCTTAAATATATTAATATATTAATAAGTATTGCTAAAATATACTGTTATATGAAATTTCAGCTTTTTATAAGCATTTCTTTTCTTGATGTCCTCCCAAAAATATTTCAGACAGTTTTCGGTAGTCATCTCTCACAATAGACTCTTTTAGTTATTTAGAGTAAATCCCATTAAGTTTATCAATTTCAGAGTTTACGGCATATTCACTAGACCCTTCCGGGTAACTAGCCACTCCCTGTGAAAATATACATTCTCATCAAAGTATACACATAAATAAAACTATATTTTAACATTTGTCAATAATTTATAATATAAGGGTCACATAATAACAAACACAAAATGACTTACGATCGAAGACCTCGCGGCCAACCGTGTTACAAAATACCGCGCGTCTAACGTTGGCTCACGGAGGGTTCAGATGCAAGTCGGCACGGGTTCCCGTTTATAGAATGAGCTGAAATTTTTACTGGGAGTATATAAACACGTAATAAATATAATTAAAGGGTATGCGTAAAAAAATAAAAAATAAGGGACACCCTAATGCCCACCCTGAGTCTTTTTCTGCAAATTCACTTAATTTATTCAAAATTTTATCTATTACATTTTCTTGAAACCAGTTCTTTAAATTTGTACTTCTATCTATGACAACGTTTTTGGTATTAAAATATTTAATTTCAGTAATATCTTCTGACTTAATATTTTGCTTTAGAAAATCACTTCCAAAACAAGTGTTAACTTCAAGTAGTGGCATGGATTTTAAGATATTTTTTATTCTAGATTGAAACAAAAAAAATGCATCATTTAAAAACCCTAGGGGATCTAGATGTAAAATATTTATTATAATGCCTGTTCGAACTCTTGACTTAAACATTGTAGTTACATCCTCCCATTTAATCCGCGCACTACGGTTAGTTTTCACCCCCGCCCCTACATGCTTTAAATTATTTAACTGTACTTGGCATCGTTTTAATTGTCCAATGGTTGTTATAATTTTTTTTTGGCATCCTATCGATAATGTATTGTTTTTGTTTAATTGTGAGCAAAGACTAATATTTTTTTAAATTAAATTAAGCCAAAATTTAATATCGTTTTGAGCAGAATTATTTGTTAACAACTTTAGGGCATTTATAATTAAATTTAATGAGTCCGTACTCACCGTGGCCACTTTTACATCCATTTTCTAAATTTGCCTAATTTCAAAGGTTGGGGTTGGTTTATATTTGGCGTCCTTGAACTCCTTCTTGCCTAAATAAACCAGGCCAAATTTTCCGGTGTTGAGGTCTTGTAAACTTGCAGCAACCTCCTCGGTCATCCGCTTTGGAAGGAATACTTTAAACTCTTCTAGTTCAACTAGAGGCAGATCTCCAAATCCTCCTTTCACAATTTTTATTTCTTTTATAGGATATACTTCCCCCTCAAGCAATTCTTCCGCTTTTATTACTTCTTTTTCTTCAGCAGCTGCTGAAGAATTAATTTTTAATAAAAATGATGCCATACTAAAATTAAAAAAAAAACTTTAAATATAAAACTAAAAATCAATAATATCAATATTTAAATACTAATAATAATAACTTACTTTGTATAATTATATGCACTAACACAATAAATTTGGTTGATAAACTTATACTGAAAAGAAATATTTAAATATTTTCTTTTTATAATAAACTTTTATCTAGCAACTACGTAATGTCAAACCACAATCAAACAAATATTTTAATTTGCGGAAACGCCCTAGATACTGCTTATCAACATCCTGTTGTTTTTAACTAACAACGTTCTAGAACAGGATGTTGATAAGCAGTATCTGAGGTTTTTCCGCAAATTAAAATATTTCTTTGTTTGTGGCTTGACATTACGTAGTTGCTAGATAAAAATTTATTATAAAAAGTAAATATTGAAATATTTATTTATTATTAGTACAAGCAACGATGAGTGAATATAGTGAAAGTACTAACAGGTACACGCCGCCTGTCAATCCAGAAGAATATTTTATGGAAAAGTAAGTTATATTTTTTTTATTTTTAACCTTAATTATTTATACCTTTTTCTTTTCAGAAATATAACTCCACCTCCACATCTGATGTCCTTAAAACAGTAAGTTATTTATTTAATGTTTATTACTTATTTATTTATTTTTTCTTGCAGAGCAATAAATTGGGCTTACAGGCGAGAATGCGAAGACTGTGGCAGGCTTTTCTGCTTTTGTTTTGTCGACTACAGGTAATACACACAACTTTTTTTATAATTTAAATTTTTTTTCTTTTTAGAACTCAGTTACCTTCATCGCTATCCTCGCCAATAGCATCGGAGCCTTCGCCACCGTCCTCACCCTCACTGATATTATTAGAGTCTTCCCCACTACCCTCACCAATAGCATCGGAACCTTCGCCGCCAACCTCACCCTCACCGATGTTCAAAGAGTCAGGTTACCTGCTAGAACCAAATGAGGGGGTGGTGGATTTATTAGAGTCTTCCCCAATGCCCTCATCGATATCGGAACCTTCGCCGCCAACCTCACCCTCACCGATGCCATTAGAGTCTTCCCCACTGCCTCTGTTCCGTTGCCTGCTAGAACCAAATAAGGGGGTGGTGGATTTATTCGATATGAATGAATTACCATCCCCAGCTAAAAAAAGGCGTTGTGTGTAAATTAACACAATAAGTAACAATAAAAATTTATTTATTAAAAAATAAATGTTTATGTAAATCTTTTAAATTTTTATTTCCCCACCACTTTTTCAGATATATACTAATTAAAAATGCAAAAAAATGGTTAGTTGTTGAGTAACTATCATCTAATAATCATGTTTTCGACAGCAAATTTTTTATTACTATCTGCATTCATTAATAATACTTTATTTGTAAATTTTCCCAAAACCACTCAGGCTATGCTATGTGGCATTCAGTGTTGATAATCCAATGGTAAAGACTCAATGGCCAAATGATTGGTATCCAATGGATGTAGCTCCTGCTGTATTCAGGATACCAGTTAATGCCTCAGCAAATAGCTCTATATTGCATTATAAATTAAAATATATTTTATCAGCGGATGGTGGAAAGCCTTTTTGAAATAAATAGTTTAAATAGTGTAATAACTAATTTAACCAATTTATCAACCACTACAGGATCGGGGGTGGCCTCTTCGAATTCAACAACATTTTCCACAAAAATATTTATAGAATTTATATCTCTGTTAATAGTAGGAATTCTTTTACTAACTATTTATGGATTTTTATACTTTTTAGGTTATGTATTTAATAAATGTAAAAATATGTAAAAAATATATTATTTAACTTACCTTTGAGTTTTATTATAATTTTAGGATATACATAAAAACAATATAATTTTTTTTATTTATTTATTATAATAATATTTTATTTAAAGCACATAATTTTTTTTTTAAATTAGTAATGTCAAGCGATTTTTTCCTCAGATCCTCAGAAATGCTCATAGCAGCAAAAGCCTTACACAGTTCATACATTTCAATGTCTTCTTTAAATGCTTGCAATTGTTTATAAAATTTTATTTTTCTTTGAGCAAATTCTTTACAATCCATGATTATGGGGTAGATAACTTTGAAGCCAATTATGTAATACTAAGGCATGTGTCGTACTACACCTACCGCTTCTAAAATGATCCAAACACATGAGGGGTTTGTTTTTAAACACTGGCTGCTCCCAAACGTTCAGCGTTTCAATGTTTATAATTTTTATATTTGGTAATAACTGCTCACAGATTGTTTTTAAATATTCATAATTTTGATTTCCTTTTGTGTAAACAGTATAGTATTCAGGCAATAATTCCATTAAACTGTTGTTAATCTCATTAAAATTTATATATCCACTTGCATATCGTAGGCCATGAATTTTTTCTTCAAAGCAAACTTGTTTTTTATTTTTTTGTGATAACAGCTTAAATTCTACCATTGGTTTTAATAGATAATGATTTGTTTGCAATCCATTGGTAACCGTAACTTCTTTTGGATGAAAAAAACATTTTTCGTTAGAGAATAATTTAAACTAAACAGCATTATGATAAACTACGAACTATTTCACTGAGTGGAAGATGCTCCATAATGACGTCATGTATAATAACACAATATGCTTTTGTGTTATCGGAAAATCCTTTTCTCGCCTCAATATCAACTTTCATGTCAACTGTACTCGATTTTAAGGATTCATTTCTTCTGGAACAATCAATTACAAAAAGGGCGTGGTTCTTAAATTGTTTATAATCAAGTAGAGAGTGTTTTGATATTGTTAAATCATTTTTAAAACTTGAATAAAATTGTGTATAATTGTGATGGGCCTCGATAAAATTATTTTTTTCAAAATTAAGGTCCATGCGTTTATAGGAAAATATTCGCCATTGAGCAGTGATGTGCCTTTACGCGTAAATAATTAATTTTGTATTGTTGACGTAAAGAATTCGTCAAGAAAACGTAAAGAATGTAAAAAAAGTAAAGAAAGTAAATAATGTAAAGAATAAAAAAATGAGGTTATGTTTCTTTAGTTCTGTGTCAATTTATAATTATTTTGAATTTTGAGCATAGAAGATGGCCGGTAGGAAACAAAATACTAATATTTATAATGAACTGCGTTTCACCCTAATTAAAATAAAGAATAAAAAGTATGTTGCGCTGTGTGAAATTTGCGAGAAAAAATTGGCAAACTACTTCTAGATTAGGCCCATAGGTAAATTCTTAATTTCGTTTAATCTATTTAATTTTTTTTACTCTACCCAAATTCTTTCATGCTTTAGAAATGTATGTAAAAGAGAAAAAACTAATAATAGTTATAAAAATAATTTAAAAACAGCAGCTCAGAAGGATTTGTCGTTATCTTCGAAAAAATCCGTAATATTACTTGATGATGATGACTCACAAATACAATCCGATTCAGGTTCAAGTGAAAATGTAGAGGATTTTTTAGTTTATTCTCCTTTAAATCAATCCTATAATGCTGATGGAAATGAAAATACTATCGGTTGCGACAGTCATGCTGAAACACCAATTGAATCATTAATAGCAGAAGTGCTGTTTGATCCAAAAACTGGATCAATGCTCACTTACAATTTGAACAGGGAAAATGGAAATGTAAGTTTTTATTTTTTATAGTTAATAAATACTTTGAAGATATTTACCATAAATCTACCTACTTCATTTTAGAATAAGGACCTTAATGGTCTTGCAGCAGAACCAGTGGAATTAACGCAAGATAGGCCAATTTCTGCAGCATCTAAAACTAACAGCTATGATTCTGGCAGGCATGGATCTCATTTTAGCTCTTCCGAAGCACGACCACACTCCAGTTTTTCATTGGCTTCATCAAGCGGCAGACAGTCACTAACATCTACCGAGGAATCTAGCAAATCTTTACCATCACTATCTGCTCCACTTTCATCCAAAAGAAATTATAATAGTAAGATGGTGAATAAGAAAATATCTAGTTTTATTGATCAATTAAATCCTAAGGACATTGAAGAAGCAAATAAGGCATTAGCAAAATTTTTTTTTGGGTGTAATATACCACTCAGCGTAGTAGAGTCTGATCATTTTAAAAATTTTATTGCTAACATTCGTCCAGCATATTCTTCTAAATTACCAAGTAGAAAGGTGCTGTCTACCACATTGTTAGATAAAACCTATAACAAATGCATAGAAAAGAGTTCCAAATCACTCAATGTATATTCAGTACTATTAATTGATGGTTGGAAAAATTCATCTAGCAATACAAAGACAGTAGTGTCTATGCTTCATAATGCTGGAGGATCTCAAGCTTTCTTAAATGCCTGGGATTTGACCGGAGATTCAGAGACAGGAGATAAGCTCTCAGAGATAGTTAATGAGTCTATTCAAATGGCCAAAGATCTGTATAATACAAGAGTCTATGCTGTAGTGTCCGATAATGCTTCAGCAATGCTTAAAATGGGTCGAACTGTTGAAATATGGCATTCAAATTGCAATTCGCATACGGCTTATCTCTTAGCAAAGGACGTATTGGATGCAGATTGTACAAAAAATGTTATTATTGTCTTAAAGGAATTTAAGCAATCTGATTTGGAAAGAGCATTAGTTGACAATAATGGCCACAGAATAAAGCTTCCTTGCGATACAAGGTGGTGTTCCTATAGAGATTCATATGTTTCTCTGATAAAAAATTTACATATAATGAAGAATCTTATTGTTAATGACCCAAATTTTAAGAAAATAAAACAAAATGTAAAGTCTTTAATTTTTGATGATTGCTTTGCTGAACAAGTTAAAGAGTATATTTTATTGTTTGATCCAATTTGCACATTAATAAATAGAACGCAAAGTAAAAACTGCGGTGCTGCAGAGGCTGCAAATCTTTGGATGAATCTAAAAACTGGAACATAGAAGAACCATGGCATTAAATGTATATGTATTATCGGCATTTTACCTTCATCCTGTTTACCGAAAAGATGCTGATTCCAGACTTCAGATGCTTTCAGATTTACAATTGGAGAATGTGCACGACTTTTTAATTCAAAATTTGGACAATCAAGGCATTAACAGTTTGAACAGTTTTAAAGAAAATTTGGGGATATTTAGAACCCAAAGTGAAAAAAACGTTGTAGACCCAATAGTGTTTTGGAACATGTCGAGGATTAAGCATCCAAACTTATCAGAAATTGCAATTAAATTAATGCAATTACCTGCCTCTTCAGCCCAAATAGAAAGAGTATTTTCTAGTTGGTCATACGTTCACTCTTCGATAAGGAACAAATTAACTTTTGAACGTTCAAAAAAGCTGCTTCACATATATTATTCGTTAAAAATTTTAGATGAAAACGAAAGCGATGAATATTAAAATATTGAATAAGGCGTATACTGCAAAAGCGGCCTAACTGAAAAAAAATAATTTTGTGTTTTTATCTTAAAATATTTCTATTATGCGCTTATTGAGTGAGCTAGTCTAATAGTCTAGTCTAATAGTCTAAAAGTAGTTATGTATATTAATATACACTTTATTAAACTAGTTCACTCGATAAGCGCTTAATAGAAATATTTTAGGATAAAAGCAAAAAATGATTTTTTTCAGTTAGGCTGCTTTTGCAGTATACACCTTATTCAATATAATGAAATGATGGTTGGACACAGGACACAGGAGGATGATTTCTTTTATATTTCTTTAATATTTATTTTATAGCTAAATAAAAATTTATAAAAACATGTTTTTACTATTTGTTTGTATCTGTAAATACAGTAAAATTTTGTTAAATGAGATATTTCTTTTATTAAAATTAGAAAGTTAAAACCCCGGTATAAATATTTATGAGCTGAAATATTTATTTTAAAAGAATTAGATAAATAAATAAAACAATTGGAATTAAAATAAATAGGTTATTAACCTTATTTTACGTATTTTTTACATTTTGTCATTCTTTACATTTTTTACGTAAATAATTAGTCGTGTAAAGAATTGATTTATTACGCGTAAAGAATAACGTAAAGAATTGACGTAAACTTTACGGCACATCACTGCCATTGAGGCCTTAGTGGCATCTTTAGTAAATTGGGGTAGCTCATGGGATTCCCACTTTCTAAATGGAATTACTATAGGTCTGTCTGATTTTATTGATTCAAACAACTGAAGCTTTAATAAATCATTGGGTGTAATAACTTGTACTTTTAACAAGATATTTTCAACGGTTAATTTAGCCTTTGTTGTGCCAGCAGCAGCAGCCGCAGTTTTTTCTGTTATAATTTGACAATCAGAGTCATTTCGAGCTCTTACAAGACGTATAGTTTGTTTACCAAATTGGGCTAGCTGATAATCATTAAATATACCAAATAAATGATGTAATGGTATAAGTATATTAAAAGTTGAAATTTTGGCTATTGTTGAGACTATTGGTTGAGCTGGGTAATTCCACCCTGCAATGCCTAAATGGTTTGAATCATCGCTACTGTAATTAAGATAGCCCTTAATTGTGCTCACAATACCTGGGTCGCGAATACCATCAATTTCTTTTCCATTTATTTCATAAGAAATTCGGTCAAACAAAAAAGCTCCAAAATTATTTACTAGGGTTGCCTCGCCATCCCCTTTAGTTATTTCCAATTTACCATCTATTAATAGAGCTGCATCGTGCATAAGCAACCAGGAATCTCTTTGATTTATTGAAATTTCTATAACATCACTATTATTAAAAGATTTAAGATAGGTGTAATAAGTTCTGTAGTCAACCTTTTGAATTGTTTCACTAAACTGAGGTTTTCGATAGATGTCGAAGATTTGGTCTAATGATGTCTATTTGAATTAGTTAAGCTGTTTGAACTAGGCAAGCGTTTGCTGTCAACTGATTTCAAATTGTTTGTGCTAGGATTTTTATAATAATTATTTAATGTTAGTCCCATTATGATAATTTTTTTTAATTCCAATCGAACTATAACTTCCTCTCCACGAAAATTAACTGGTTTAAAATCTAGGTTTAAAATTACCAAAGTAATATTATATATTTCTTGTTTATTTATTATTGGTAAATATATAAGGTTTCGGGAAATTTCGTTGATTGTATAGCCTGGATCAACGTCCACTGAAAATTCGTAAATTGTATGTGTTGGTAGATAATTATAATAAGCACCTGTAGATATATTACAATCGATGTGAATGGTTCGAACTTTTATTATATTAACTGGGAGATCTGATTCGTGTTTTTTAACCGGCGTTAAAGAACGCTTAGAAAATCCTAATATGTTTCCTATACCATCTGCTTGTGTAAAATCTATTTCCAACGTATTGCTTTGAATTTCACACTTTAAAGTATTATTATTTGGTTTAAGTGAAAAATATTTATCATAATCTTCCTTTTTAACGGTGCCAGGAATAATTTGTTGTCTTAGGTTAGTTTATATATGTAATATTTCATAAGTACCAGTTGGTATTATTATTTTTTTTAACACACTCGCTTCTTTATAATAAAATAAATGTATTTTCACCTTCTTCAATATTAGGGATGCTGTTATAGGAATAAAACCCTATTAATGCTATACCGTAGTCAAAATCTGGATTAATTTGTATTGGATTTGTAAAATCTATACTTAAAACATAATTATTACTTTTTAATGTAAATAGCTGGGATATTATCTTTAAACAACGGTTAATAATAGACTAATCATATTTTCTTATCTCATTTATTTTTATAAAGAAACCACAAACATAAATGGCCACAATTAATTTGTTTTTTTTGTTTTTGTTTTTGTTTTGAAAACAATCATTATTATAATTAATTTTAACATTTTTTCCTAAAAAAATTACTAATTCTTTTGGCGGTTTAAGAAAACTATCAAAATAAATAACAGAATTGTTTCTTTTAGTATAAGCTACCCAATGTGTACCCAAATTTTTCGAAATGTCTAAATTTAGGATTGCAGATTCATTTTTATTTTTTATTTTTGGTAAAGCGTCTCGCATAAAAACCCCTCTAAAATAGGGTATTTTAAGCTTTTGTGCATATTTTACCAATTCAGAATCATATAGGGCTCTATTGGGTAGCTTTATTGGTAGTTTTTTTGTTTTAAAAAAAGACCATATCCTCCCTTGACATTCCGTTTTAAATATAATCCTGAGCCTTTTTTTCCAATTTCCTCCATAGCCCTATTATGTCGACCTAATTCTTCAAGTTTCTTTTTAGCATTTTTTGTGTCTATCACTGTTTTGGCTACAGCGCTTGCGCCTCCAGCCAATGATCCTATGGCCCCCAAAGCTCCTAATAATGGTAAAAGGGGTAATAATCCTCCTTGTCTGTCGGGTTCAAATGGAATTATCCTAGGCACCTTAATATTTTTACGACCCCCGGCTTTCTTTATAATCACCCGAGCTGCTTTAAGTGCCGTTGCGGCAGATTTTTTTAGTGAATTTTGATTGGATATATCTAAATCTTGAACATGTTTTTTAATTTTATCAACCAAACCTCGTTTAAATGAGATTGGTTTTCGAGTTTTTCGAATACCCATTCCAAGTTTTCTTTTAACCTTCATTCCAGTTGTTACTAACCAAGCTGCTGCTTTCTCCCCCAATTTAGAGTCCTTTGATTTCACCCTTTGCCAAGCTTTATTTTCCAAAATCCAATCTGCCTTATGCCTTTCCGCCAAACTTTTATTTTCTGAATAAGCAATATCGTGATCTTTACATGCAGCGTCTAAGGGGTTTATACCAGTATCACCCCTTTGAATTCTCTTATCTAATTTAGTACCTGGCCCACAAAATTGGTAAGAGGGTACGTGAAGCTCAAAGGGTAGGTTGTTAATTACCGAATTTAATAAACCACTACCTTTATGCTTAAAAGTCAACATTGAAATGATTTTTTTTTATTAAAGTTAGTCTTTTATAATTATCAATTAAAGTATGTTGTCACAAATCAAAATGGCGTTAAAAATGAAATTTATATTATTAATAATAAATCCTTATCTCCAAATAGCGGATGCCAGATGACCAAACCACTGTTAAGTCACGCCCACCCTCTTATCACCAGCTTCCTTTCCCTTATCTCTAGTTCGAAATTTTTGTATCGCTCATCTATAGGTGGCGCTATTTGCAAATGGCCGACATCCGACGACCGCCCATTAGCTATTTGCAGGGAGCCTATCAGCCAACCACCGGCCTATCTACAGCCAATCACACTCTACTGGGCGGGGTTTTGCAACCACAAACATCGATTAGCCCCCTTTTTTTGGGCCAATCACCTTAGCCTATCAACCAACCACCGGCTTATCTACAGCCAATCACACTCTACTGGTCGGGGTTGTGCAACCACAAACATCGATTATCCCCTTTTTTTGGGCCAATCACCTTAATGTTTATCTCTTTAGGAACGCACATAGCCAATAGGAACGTCCCCTTTAGGAACGCCCATAGCCAATCACCTTTAGGAACGCCCCCATCCATCTGTCTGGGTCACTTCCGTTCTAGAATCGGCTTAGTATATCTACTCATAGTTTTCAATTTTGAACAAAAAAGTGCTTTTTTTAAAATTTGTAAAAAATTCAATTTTTTTAAAATTATTAGTTTAACGCAAAGTATACCTTTGCCAGAGTACACATTTGTACACCGATTTTTATTGATTGCAGTTTCTTGTTCGGGACCCTTTGGTTACTTAAAAATGATATTTACCAAACTCCTAGCTGCTTCTCTTTTCGAAATTTTTTGAAAATTCATGATTTTTTTAAAATTTTTGTTTATCTTAAAGTCTACCTTTGACAGAGTAAGCATTTGTACACCGATTTTTGTAATATTGGAGTATATTGTTAACGAGACTTAAAGAATACGGTTTTCATACTGAGCACATCATTAGATTTATACAGGGTTAGCCAAAAATCACTTTTTTATATAGTAAAAAGCATAATGCACAAAA